AGCCCGGTATCTCAACCACGCCACGCCAACCATCATGGAAGCCTCGAACCCCGTCCTCGAGACCATCTGGCGCCACAAATCGATCCGCCATTTCCTCCCCTCCCCTTTACCCGACGGCACCCTCGAGACCCTGGTCGCCTCCGCCCAGAGCGCATCCACCGCCTCTATGCTCCAAACCTGGAGCGTGATCGCAGTCCAGGACCCCTCCCACAAGGCAGCCGCCGCGCAACTCAGCGGCAACCAGGACTTCATCCGCCAGGCGCCGCTCATGCTCTTCTTCTGCGCCGACCTACACCGCCTCACGAATGTCTCGGACTGGGAGGACCAGCCCGCGACGGCGCTGGAGAAGACGGACATGTTCATTCTGTCGACGATCGACGCGGCCGTGGCGGCGCAGAACGTGGCGCTGGCGGCCGAGTCGCTGGGGCTGGGCATCTGCTACGTGGGCGGGGCGCGCAACAACGCCGCGGAGCTGTGCGAATTGCTGGCGCTGCCCCCGCGGGCCGTCGTGCTGTTTGGCATGGCGGTGGGCTGGCCGGATCTGGCGGCGCACGCCCCGGATATCAAGCCGCGGCTGCCGATGCGGGAGGTACTGCACCGTGAGAAGTGGGATGATAGCCATCAGAGGGAGGATGTGGAGCGGTATAATGCGAGCTTGGGGGCGTTCTACGAGTGGCATCAGTTGTTCGGTCGGCATAGCTGGGCCAAGTTCGTTGCGGGCATGTTGGCGTCCGGGGAGCTGGATGGACGCGAGAGGATGCGGCAGGTGCTGCTGGATCGGGGGTTTAAGCTTGGTTAGGATGGGGGCCTGGTGGTAGACTAGAAGACAGTGTGTTCGAAATAGATCGTGTTCTAGAGCTGGAGCTACATAGTGGTGGGTTGACTGGGTAGACGGTTTGAAATGTGAAGATGTTGGTATAAGGCCTAGGACTATTGACGGCGAGCCCGGGGAGCCTTGCCTGAGACTGCCAGCGAACCGTCCACCTCGGTGTCCTCGGCTAGTTTCTCATAGATAGCCTGACGTAGTCAGAATCCATTCAGCATCCAATATGACGATTCGAGGGGCGGTAACACGCCTGGTAATTGCATACTGTATATGTACTCTACATAGTCACTTTTAAGACTTGACAAAGATCCATAAAGACTCCCTGCACAAAGGTTGCAAACTATATGAGCCAATTCAAATGTTATAATGATGATCTTCTTGTGTGTCCAGCAGCCCAGAATTCACAGAATGTGGCCATGCACGTGACCAAAGAAGACTTACTAATTCTTTCCAGTGCATTCTCGGAAACCAACCACAACCACAAATTGACTTGCAAGAACTCTTACAAAAAGGCGCAATGCATCGATAGCAATGCCGCGCGCATGCAATCAATCTTGTGATCGATGCTACAGTATCAAGGAGCGGTGTTCCTGGGTGGAAGGCTCGAGCCAGTGCATGCGATGCTCCCGCCTCGGCTTCACCTGCAGCAAGACCCGCCAGGCCAAAAAGCCCGGTCGACGGGTTCTGTCCGCCGCAGCACTGCAGGCCAATCGCCCAAACACCAGAAGCACCAGCTTACTGCCGAGAGCTTTTCCGTCGGCCGGGCAGATCAATCTGATACACCACTGGATGTCCAACTATGAGACCTTTGACCGCTTTCTCCTGGGCCCCGCCTTCTGGCCGCGCCACTGCGCAGCGCTGATGACGCATCTGGAACACTCGCAGTCCGTTCTCGAGCACGCCTACCTGGCGTCCGTGCTCTCCGCGACATACTCGGCGGAGAACAGCCGCCACACCAGCCAGCCTGCAGATGGGCTGTCCACGGTCTACCGGCACGCCTCCACCGCGCTGCGGAGCCTGCGCGAACTCCACGTCACGGATCGCCAGCAAGCATCCACGTGTCTCGTCCTGGGCACCAACATCATGCTCTTCGCCATGTTCCAGCGACCCGAGAACGTCTTCACACTGTGCCGGCAGACGCTGGTCCTGGTCCGCCCCGTGTACGACACCATCGACGGGCCCGACCCGGAGGACTTCTTCTTCCTGACGGGCACGATGATGCTAGAGATGGTGGGCAGTCTGATCCATGGCGCCGTGCCGGCGCTGAGGTTCCGCCCCCCGAAGTCTCCGGTGTATGTGGATCGCTACCTGGGGCTGTCGACATCCCTCCTGCAGCTGCTTCACCGGGTCGGGGAGCTGAATTCATCACTCTCGGATGCTGTCGGTCCCAATGTCGCCGTCAACCCTATGGCATCGCGAGATCTCGACGGGCTGGAGTCGACAGTCCTCGCATGGCAGCCCGATGTCCCTGAAAACCTCTGCTCGATGTTCTCGGCGGTCGAGATCGCACACATCTTCTGCCAGGTGCAGGCGATGCGTCTGTGCGCGCTGCTGCTGATCTACCGTCTGAAGATCCCCTTCGGGATGCATGACGCACCTGCGCGAGCGATCGCCATCTCAATCCTCACGCAGTTGCAAACCACACTGTCCGTAACAGGGAAGGCGGTCAAATTCGCCATGCTGCCCGTCCTGGTGGCCTGCGTCGAGCTGACGACCGAGACGGAACGAGACGGCTGGCTGTCGCAGGTTCCAGAGCTGGTCTGCTGCTCACGGGCGTATGGTCTATTCATCCAAGGGGCTATCCGGGCTTTCTGGACGGCCCGGGATGTGGGAGTGGTATTTCGAGGGTATAATATCAGCCGGTTTACAGCATGCTCTGATGATCGAAGCAGAGCCCGCAGCAAAGACCGCAATGAATCTGGCACTTCATTAATAGGCGGGACTGCTCATATCTAGTCTGGGTGCTCCATCCATGGCTCAGATTCGGTGCCCAGTTGAAAGAGGCAGTAAAGGCGCTTCTGCTAGGCTTCATCGTGCCGATCGCGCGATCACACGTGATCAGCTCTGCGCTAAGATGGACATGGCGAGGGTTTACAGGGTCAGGTAGACATTCCTAGGGAGAACAAGAGCTTTCACGGATCCTAGGCATTTTGAGACCAATTGTGTGGACGTCTATCGTGAACGCTGTTGAAGCTACATCACCTTTACCCAGCGTTCAGATCGTATAGCCCCGCATTCTCGCAGAGAGCAGCTCCCCTGGGAACTTGGCAGGAGCACGAGTGTTCGAAACCCAGGGCATCGCTTTGAAAGCAGACTCCCACGGGATTACTCGAGCATGGATCGATTTAAGGAGTTATTTGCATTCTTTTCCGGGTCGCGAATGTATGTCAAAGGCTCACCCCGGCGGTCGCTTCCTGGGGCTTTTCACCTCTGACGCAAAATCGGCCGTGGCCAATATTTGAAGTAGGACGTGTTCGGCTACAATATCAGGATAGTGTAGAGACATAAACACCCTCACTGTTCAAGGACACTATTCTCAAAAATTTTCCTAGTGGCTACTCTCTCAACTACCAACCGGACGATCTGCAGAAACGACTAGTACCTCAGACATTGATACCGAACCGACCACAAGAGGAATTGGCTGCAACAGGGCCGTATCTAAATAGGATATAATATAAGCTACGCTGGAACCCTAAACGGCTATTATCAGCAGCTGTAGTTAAGCCTAGAGCAGCTCGGGCTAGAGAAGATATTTCGACTCGCATCTGTCAGAACAAGGTTGCTCTTGTCTCCCTTCCGAAGGGTGCTTGATATATTTGTCCGTGGACGCATCAACTCCAGTATTGAGTACCACCTGAAGATTCCTCTGACCATTCCTTATACAGTGGGGCATGTAGTGCTCGGGGAGATCATCAAGCGGTGTGGTATTGGACCTTTGTAAGGATGCACCAAGACTGAGACCACCTGTATGACAATGACTCTTATCCAACTGGGAGGGCTGGCTAAGAGAGCACGGCAGGGTACGATGCTGGGGGAGCAATGGTGTTCGGTCTTCTTGCGTAATCCTGAGCGGCATGTCAACAATTGGGGCTGTGGTTTAGTGGTATAATATTCCCTTAGCATGGGAGAGGTCCGGGGTTCGATTCCCCGCAGCTCCATCTTTTTTGGTTTTTCTGCTTGTGATCGATTTCATTGCTGGTGGCTGTGGAGCATGGTGGGTCGCGGTCTGCTCATTGGCTAGAAAGAAGAGCAGGAGAACAACGAAAAATTGATGTGAACTCTTGTCAATGAGTGAAATGCACATCACTTGATCAATCGGCTGCAACTTATATTTCCCTCCGCAAGTGGTAGCTCACCCCGCATAGTTGACAAGGTAGCAAAAAAGACACAAGAGAGGGGCGTCGCAGGCCCATCGGGGGTCAAATAAGAACATTTGCTCACACTCGGACTCGAACCGAGGATCTCAGCATTACTAGTGCTGCGCTTTACCATCTAAGCCATGCGAGCGGTTGATGCAGTTTGGCGGGCAAGACGTCTATACAGTCAAACTCTAGACCTTGTCAGCGACATTCTTGCCATCTTGTCCGCTTTCAACCATGTAAAATGTTTAAAGTAGCATCATCTGGCTCCAGTATCATGGCTCATTATCAGTATCCTTCTGTCTGCCTATGCTATACGTATCAACTAGAGGGGAAGATGGATTCCAAGAACCGGTGCTGGTTTCCAGACTGTAATGTGCGAAGCTGGCAGCCAGTATATATCCCTGGACTTAGTTGGGACTTGCACAAATTGACTAATACCCTTATCCCCATTCCACGGCTTGTCTGTCCAATTCTGACTGTTTTTCTTTCTTTCTTCAACAATGTATAGAGCCCAGCACTGGAGATTCATAATTCATGTGGTTTGCTGCGCAGCGAAGTGTACGGTAAACAATATGGTATCAACCAGACCAATATCCCACTAACCCCCTGTGGGTATAATCCTACCTATCATACCGCAACTGGGTGACTATGTGATGGCCATATTAGTCCACCTGCCACATACGTAGTCCAGCAAACCTTCATCACAACTGGCTATCAGCCGCAACTCACCCAAAACATTTGAAGTAAACTACATCGAAGGCGTCCGCGGTCGCCGACGGACTCACAAAAGAATATACTGCTTCACTTGATACGACCGATAATGCTTTCGCATAGCAGGAACGTCTATCTTGAGTCGCTCTCGTCAGACATGCAGAAACCCGCATCAATCTGCAGATTCCATCTTCACAGCTTTCCATCGTCTCCCTGCTCAATCCTGCCCATCAGTACGACCACATCCTTTGCAATGCGTCTCGTCTTCCGATCCAAGGCCGTAACCGTAGATATCCAGATAAACCTCTCCTTCCAGAATGCCCAGCGCTCCTTCGACCAGCCCTCCGACCCCTGCCACTTATCATACGCCCGGATCTCCCGTCCCAGGGACCCCTGCTTCTCATAGATCTCCTTCCCACAGTACTCAAGCCACACGGCTGCCGCCGGCACGAATCCATTCAGCGCCCTGACGTCGATAATCTCGAGTGCCTCGTCGCGCTTCATGTTGTAGAAGTCCTCCTCGTCCTCGTCACAATCTTGGATGATGTTCTCGATGTGCGGATGATGGAATTTCTCAAAGGGGGCGTGCTCCAAGGTTCTGCGTAGCACCCACGCGCCGTGATTGATCAGAAACCCGAAGCGGTTGGGGCGGGGCAGACGCTGGTAGAATTTGATGGTGAAGACATTCGCGTTTAGGAAGCGTTGTCGCTCGGTCTCGCGGGTGGTCGTGTTGAAGCAGTGATCCACATCTGTTACTGTCTCAGTCTCTGTCAAATGGGAAAGGGATCGCTTTGAAACAGCGACTCGATATATGGGAATAGGAGTAACAGCTTACAGTCGTAAGTGAACTCGCACAGATGCATGTAGAACCCCTCCAGCCATTTGAACTCTCCATCGCAGTCGGGGAGCTCATGCAGGGCGATGAGAAACTCCACAAATCGGTCGCAGTGCTCGGGGAAACGCTCAACGGCGCCGATGAAGGGCGACCACAGGTCGCCGTACTCAGGGCTCGGGTTTGCTTCAGCAATAGCACGAGACACGCATGCTCTGGCGACGTCTGCAGCGGGCGCGGAAGGGTCGACCAGCAGGGTACGGAGTGCTGAAAGGATCTCTGGGCGTGGAGGCCACACATCCTGTGCCTCTTGGGCCAGGAAGGCTTCATATTCGGGAATCTTGTTGCTCATGATGAAAAGGAATGGGCGAAGGATGGATGACCCGATGGGATCTGTTTAGGAAAGGAGTAAGGAAGGAAGAAAGGAGAGATGATGATTAAATACCGGATCTTTGATGAGGGATGCTGGTTCGATGTGTTATAGTGACTGAAACTGGTAGGTGTCTGACTCATCTATCAAACCCTGGCTACGACCCCCGGACCCTGTCAATTCTTTGTTTGCTTGTTGGGGGCTTGATACAACTCAGCCCCCCATTGCGCCCCATTACCCTAACTGTGCGAGTAAGCACTATCGCAGCTTGTACACAGAGCTAACATGATATGATGCTCTTAGATTGGTTTATCGATGATGCCAATCGTTCCTTCATTGGGCCCTTACCCTCCCACGGCTTTTCACAGCATTCGGGGTCCAGCTTCGGGAACATACAGAGACAAAAGTAAATAGCTGCGAACGCAGGAAAGGGGAAAAGAGACAAAAGTCCTTGGCAGAGATCCAACAGAGACCTCTTTCCCCAAATACCAAGTGCACGTCAATCTCAATCTTACTATTTCAGCAATTCACCCTTTGAACAAGGCAAACCTCCCCTCAATATTATGAACTCGACTATTTCGAATCACAGAGCAAACATCGACCCCATAATCCTGGTATACTAACGCCTGGACACCAGTGTTTAGGCCCCATTATCATTAAAATCTGGTCTACCGTGAAACAGCTTCACAGCAGACATGAATTAGGACACCAACATGAGATAGATTATACTCAAAGACTGAAATCCATAAAGAGAAACCAATATCACGTCGTAGTCAAGAATCTACACCCATTCAGAGGTTAAATCGAGCAAGAGTCGAGCCTATAGCCTCCAATCTCATTTCTTACTTGATACCCCACAACAGAGCCGCAAGAATGAGCTACATGATGAAAGCCCTTGTTCTACACATACTGCTGGCCGGGGCAATTATGAGCCAAGCTGTTCTTGCCAGCCCGCTCGTCGACCTCCATTCCCGTGGCACGATGCCTGTCGAGGCTCTTCCCGAACAACCGGACTACATTACCGACGAGCTTGACAAGCGCGGCAAGACAGCCCCAAAACTGGCGACGGCGGACTTCCCCATCAAGAGCTACACCTGCCCCAAGACCGACGCGTATACGGAGACCACCTACACCTCCAGACAGCTGACGAAGGCATACATTGACGCTGCCAAGTATGCCAACGAGGGTAAACAACTTGGAAAGAGTACGGAGCTACTACCGGTACCCACCCCTCCCCCCTGAATTCTCAGAGAAAGGTTTTAACGCCCGAGCTAACGGCGTCGTGTAGACAAGTACCCCTACAACTTCGCCAACCACGACAAGCTACCTTTCGAGTGCGGCGCCAGCAAGCAGGAGTTCGCTCTGGACCGCGAGAATCCCGCACGGGTCTACAGTGGCGGAGATGTCAAGAAATTGCCCGATCGGTTCATCCTCGAGTATACTGGCACAGGCAAGACTGCGAGAGCGCGTTTCTGTGGCGTGATCCGCCACTATGAGGATGGCTTTGTCAATTGCTCCGCTCGTTAAGATCAAACCCGAATTCTTGGTGTGAGTGTGAACTGCTCTGAGATGAATGAGAAGAGTGTATGTATTGCTTGGATGAGACTCGAGGCTTTCATGATATCGTGTACCGGTCTCAGCGCACTGAAGAATGGCACGTTGCGTGAGGGTATTGGTGGGCAATTACAATGCAAGTAGCCCGGGGGTTGTTGAACAGTTTCCACTGCTAGATGGAACTGCCATATCATGCCACTGCTGTCGAGCGAGGGATACCAGGCCCAAAATGCCAAGGAGGAGATTCCAGCTCGACTAACTTTGTTCGGCACGTGATTTGTAAGCTCATACGGAATTGATGAACTAATTTGGTGACGTGGCCCTATTTTCCGCCTATATTTGCATTTCAGTATCACCCTCTATCTCAGATCTTGATATAATATTCTCGCAAAAAACCCCTCTTCCCTCATACCTTATCAGTCCCCCCAAGTTCCCCGCATCAACCGGATCAACGGCTATCACCATGAGCTCAAACGCGGAGTCAACACGGGACGTGCTCCGAGTGGAGCCCATCACGGACCCAGCCGACTTCGACCGCTTGTTCCAAATCACCGCCCTCGCCTTCGGCCACCAGGTCAACGACGGCGTCTGGTGCGCCATGAACCCCGGCTGGGACACGCCGGAGGGCCAAAAGAGCGGCAGCGCCCGCTTCGCAGCCCGCTGGTCGTCCACCACAACCGACCGACACGGCCGTCCCAACACCATCTTTCTCAAGGCCGTTGTCCCACGCCCAGAAGGTAGCGCCGCAGGCGACGACGAAATTGCCGGCGTGGCGATCTGGGTCCAAGCGTCCCAGGTGGCCGGATACGGTGACGCTCCTGTTGTCGATATCGGTGAGACGATGGACCTCGAAGCACTGATCCCCGGGAACCCGGCCGAGCAACGGTATCTGCGCCAGGTGGTGTTCGGGCTGCAGCGCCGTCGCATCGAGTACGTCCGCGAGATTGCGGGCACGGACTCCCCCGCGGTGCTGGTGCTGGATCTATGTGCTGTGGACCCTGCGTTCCAGCGGCGGGGGGTCGCGACGAAGTTGGTGGAGTGGGGGCTCCGCGAGGCGCGGGAGCGCGGTGGGCTGGAGGCTGTGCTGGAGGCATCGAGCATGGGGCGGCATGTTTACCGCAAGCTGGGGTTCGAGCAGGATGGCGGAGAGTTTGTGTATGAGGTGGATGAGGAGTTTCGGGATCGCGAGCGGCCGTCGAATGTGTTTATGCGGACGGGAAGACCGGGGCAGTGAGGGATTTAGACCTCAGTGCTAGAGATAAGTTCGTTCGTGGCCGTGGGATGCTCCTTAACCGCCTTGTGAATAGCATGTGTTGTGTACATACAATGTATCTCCATTATCACACAATGGAAAATTCAGCTGGGAGCAGCTGGGCATAAAATTTCATCAAAGTCTACTACAGGCGCCGGCAGCATGACCCTGAGCTCGCTCTCCGTCTCCAGCGTACCCTAAGTTAGATGACATACGTTGCTCCGACGTTTTCCCGCTTGGTGGCGCGTTCAATCTCTTCCCATTCTCGTCTGTGCTGTCTTAATCATACCATTGTATACCATACCATTGTATCGCGAGTTGAAGCAATCTATCGTCGCCGTGACCTGTACAGAGCAAAGTGTGATTGCCTCTGTATATATATGATATGTTCTTCGCCGGCGGCAGTTCGACTTCCTGTTTCAGATGCCGTCGCTTTTATGCAGAGATGGTACGGTCGGTTCAGAAAGACCTTCACATTCAATGGTCCAATAACACATCGTGGAGGGTCAAAGGCGGGTAGATACGTAATCTTAACCTTCTTAAGTTAAGTACATTGGGGCTTCAGAATGGTTTGGTAAGCAGGTATCAATCACCCAATAAGTCCACCCTCACCAAGAAGCATCAGCTAATTAAAAATAGTACTGGTACTGACAAGATTTTACATAATATCTGGCAGCAATGCAACCCACGTCTAAATCATATCTTAAGCAAATTACAGAAAGCTCAGCGGCAGGGTATCTGGCTCCAAGTTCACAAAAAAAGATGAGCTGCGTAGCAGACTTGCTAAGCATCTTACCCTTAGAATTCTGATAGTTCAAGAATTTAGTAGGTACTCTATCTAGATATAAATAACAGGAATCTTCTTAAATTATCTCGCGATAAATTTGATAGTACGATAAATTTTTTCTTACAGATCCCAACCAGATAATACTGCTTTAACCTTTTAGTAAATAACTAGAGTACTTAGTTAATACTGGGTCTATAGAGCTCTAAAGCTTTTATCATAGCCCAAAAAAAAAACACTATCTTGTACTAAAGCAGAAGATTAAGAATCTTTTAATTACTCTACTAATAAATATAAGAAACAGTTAGTGCCCTTTTCTTAGACAATATAATAATATCTAACTTTATTTAAATTATACAGATATAATCGAGAAGATAAAAAGCTTGTATAACAGCAGACAGGTAGGCTTAGCATCAAGCAACTATATTATTATACTCCAGAGCCAGTTCCTACAGGCAGCTGACCCTGACTTCAGAGTTTTCAAAGCTAATAATAACTTAAGTATCATGTAAGTATAGGCCTGACTGTCTTCTTTCTGAGCTAATCTCTTCCAGCGGGTTTGAATTTGAGAACATCAACATCATTAAAGTGGCGAAAGCCCAGGCACAGCAACAATCGCCAAGGTTAAACATTTGCTGCATTTGTTCTACAACTGCGTCAGTGTTTTTAACCCCACAGTTGCTATTCCTTGGATTATGCCGCTTTCGGCTCAAATGTTGCTCGCTAGGACTCTGAACTTAGTTATATAGTACAGAATGCAGCTTACCACCGATAGATGTCGATCAAAGGCGTATTAGCCACCCAAGGATCATCATCTGTGCTGAAATCCAGCCACAGGCCCTCATCTATGGTTCGCACCGCCTCCTGCCAGATTTCTTTGTTTCCCGATGCTATCTGGTTCCTGCAAAGTTCAACCCGGAATCAGTACCGTGGAACCTTCAGTCAAAAGCATACGACCGGTCATCTGGACCCCGTCGAGGCTGGTCTGGATTCATGTCTCCAGATGATCGCCAGAACAGCTATCCCGTAGATATTCAGGGAGTATAGACCCATAAAAGGCCTGTTCATCCGCAGGAATCGCCCAGCAAACTTGATGTGTTGACGTCCCTCAAGATCCCAACAGCAATGCCATTCGGACACTTCTTCAGGCATGCAGATGAACCAGCCGCGCACCAGGGCTGGGGTCCTCTAATTACAGACTCCAAACAACCTACCCCTCTGTTCACCCGGCTCCTAGATGCAATATTCATCTACTTCACCAACACCCCACCAGTCGACTCCAGGGGTTTTGATCCCGTCAAATATGCTTCTGTCTTCACAGCCCTCTTCTACTCCGACAACAACAACCTCAGTCGCCGTTACTACATGTTTGCCTCCGAGAATCACATGCCTGCCCCTGAGCAATTTGCGTATCAAGCCATGACAATATTTTACCGCACCCATGACATCCAACACGTAATGAATGGCCAAACTCCAGTAATGACCAGAGACGGATTTCATCTGGTAATGTTGAGAGATACGTTGGGGGATCCCGAGATACAGTACCAAAGATTCAATGCGTTTCTGGCCGCCCACGGAGGTGATTTGGTGGATCCCATGACTGGTTGGCGGTTTCCGTCAGTGCCCATTCCTAGGGATTCAGTGCCCAGGGAGAGGGACTCGGAGACGTGGTCGAGAGAGGCGGAGATGACGAGGGACTTCAACGAGGAGTTGGGCATATATCTGGAAGAATTGAATAGGATGGGAGCTTGGAGGCATGATATGACGATGGCTAGTATGTCGCCTGGGGTGTGGGTGAGTAGATATCTGCGATAGCTACCTGCCTATATTCTTACTGCAATATGCCTGTGAGATATGTTAATTCGAACATTACCTAGCAAGAAATTGATGGAATTATATTATGAAGGAAACAGGAATGCCATACATTAAGTCGGTAATATAACGATGCCCAAAGTGCTTTGGTCCTGGACATTGTTCGCAGGTCGGTTGAAGCTGTATTCGTACATACCGGCGGTAAGAGCCAATCGATGGTACGAAAATGTACTGGAACGAGGGCTCAGCCTCCATGCCGATGGCCCTTGATAGATCTTATAGGAGCAATGGTACCATGGCTTGTTTCCACTGCTTGAAATCTACTATCGTGCTCCGTCATCGTTCGCCACAATTGAATTATAAGTACGGAGATATCGCAGATTGTGAACCAACTCTGAGCAAGCAATAAGGGCTTAGGACATGGAGAGAACTGGTGGTATTCACCGATAGAATATGCAATATGACATGACGTAGTAATCACTTTTGCAACGCAGACCTTTCATTCCAACCGAGCAAAGGAACAGCAACTGTGCTGACCCTCGCCATGAAACTTTTGATTCTGCCCGAGAGTCACCAAGGAATTTAGCGTATTATGATACTTCGCCGGGGCCGTTAACGAGTCCATTATCTTCTGCGTCTGGAGCTGATCCCACAATCTTGACATTCCCACATCCAACCAGAGCAAAGGGAGCCCAATTGCGAGGAGAGGTAAAGTCCACTTTCCCTTGCGTTATCATCGCCCGTAATTGATTCAAATGAAACTTTAGTTTGCCATAATCACCGTCCGGCCTGGCACTTGTGTCCTTGGTGGCTCGCCAGAGGTTCTCCAGTTCATCAACTAGTGCAAGTGCGTTTCGTTCGTCCAGCCGGTAAAAAGCTCGGACGGCCTGGTGCCAGGCGTTTGCCACACATATCTCAGCGCCCGGAGGGGCATTTCTGTGTCTTGAGAGTATCTTGTAAAACAGATGCATCAAGAGCATGGCTAGTTCGTCGCAGACTCTCCATAAGCCCCCAAGAAATGCTCGGGCCCCGGATTGAAGTACAGCATGTGCGAACCCCACAAGGTCGTCACCGGCGTTGATCTCGCCTTTGCCGCTGAGGCAGCAGCTGAATACCACCAGCGAGGCGCTGCAATCCTTTGTGGCCATGTCGAGGACACGAAACGTGTCGCCGAGGATTGTGGATTCCCAGGGAGAGGAGGAGTTTTCTGTACCATGAGCTGCGATATGGATGAGCTCAGCTGCTTTCATGGCTTGCGGGAACTGGTCGCTCGTGACCGGTTCTACGCCAAAGGCACTGCAGACTGAGACCACTTCAGGACCAACATAAACTATCGGGTTGGCTTTATCACAGTCTGCTACCGCGCAAATCGTGGTCCCCGGCTGGGATTTGGCCGCCTTTTCAGAAATCCGTTGCAGAACAGCCAAACTCGGTACCTGGTAGAACGGCTTTGTTAGGACCAGGGGCTCGCCGTCTAGCATCAATGCACCCAGAGGAAAGACGTTCAGATATGAAGTAGGCACAAAAATGACAGTATTGCTGCCACGAATATGTTCAGCAAAAGGTTCAATCAGCTGGGTAGATATCCTAGCCGCGATATCATCAAGACCCTCCTTCAGATTGGCCGCCTCAGGGGGCGTTGGGTCCTTTTGGAAGGCTAATATCTTTCCAAGATAGCCAACAACTAGTCTGCGTAATGCGAATGTTCCGAGGTCAGACTGGTGCACGGATTGGATGCCTGACGATGAGATGCACAGGGCAATTGTGCCACTCATACAAATGCCAACTTCTATGACGATCGCGTTCGCAGGAATTGAGCGAAGAAGTCCATCCACATCTGGGACGAACATGGTATTTTTGAAGATCTGTGCTATGGTCTCGTCCCTCCCTTTAAGAGCCTCTCCAACCGGATCGAATGTATCCGCGGATATTCCGAGCTTCTCTGCAACATTCCGTGCCCTCGTCAAAAGGTTCTGCTCGTCCCCAGGCCTACACTGTGAATGGATCAATGTTGACAGCAGGCGATTTCGGTATAACTCTTCCATCGACGCTTGAAGGCTCTCCACACCCGCAAAATCATGTGCCTGTAGTATATCGAGTAACGTTCTTGCCCGGCCGCGCTCAAGGAAGATGAGCGCCTGATCTAGCCAAGAGGATGTCGGCAGGCGGTACTCATCTGGATGTTTTGCATCAGTCCGTCTCGAGAGGGCGACTGATGTTCGAGCCAGGCCGCAGAATAACTCTGCAGTGTGCTGCGTCGAGTAAGCTTTGCGCCGGTCGTCGGGGTTTGGAATCATAGATCTCAGATTCTCGACCTGGTGTAGACCGTTTAGATAATTCTCGATCGCTTTGTCGAGCTTCGAAGCCCGCTCATAAAAAGCACCGATGAAGGTGAGCAGTTGCCAGGTGTCTGGCTTTGGCTGTGTTCTTGCTTTATAGAAAAAGTCGGGGAGCACGGTGGCGATATTCCGCAGTATCCTAGGTCCCTTATCCCAAGCCTGGGCCATGAAGCACATGGATATGTCCTGCTCGGCAGTATCCCTACGAACTTTAATCGCGTGTTCCCGAACATCACTGGTGACTCCTTTACGATCGCAGACCAGACGAATGTCCTCTACTCCGCCTCTAACGAACCAGTCTGAAAGATAATGTGGAAGAGCCTGTCTCATTTCATCCACCCGATCAAGTTGTGCTAGGGTCGGGATCATGTAGTCGAGCACCTCCCTTATTTTGAGAGTGCTCTCCGAGTCGCAGGTCGAGACAAAAGCTTCGAGTTGGGCATCGGCGGCGTCCATGTCCCCCAATCCGATCGCCTTGAAGGAACCCCCAATGGCTCGGGCGTAACCCGCATTGAACCTTTTTCGCGCCTCAAACGTTTGGCAGAAGTACATCATCTCGGTTTCCATTGACCCAAGTTCTGGGTCATTAAGATGCTGCTTCGCCTCGTCACTCAAAGGCGCAAGGTCAATGAAATCAGAACTCCCCTGTGGCTCATTTGGCTGAAGGCCCCGGCGTACTTCCTCCCACTGCGAACGTAGATTCTCATCGCCAGTCATCGAACAGACGGATTGGACCAACCTGTCGAACTCGAGGAGGAGCGAATTCCTTGAGTTACGGAGGTTGTGAGGGTCGACTTTGTGGGACACACTGTCGTCGAGGTATGCGAATGCGCGGTGTATAACTCCAGAGGGCTTTATGCTCTCTGTGACCTTTGCTTGCGCGCGCGTCCAGTTATGTGTTTGCCTGAACAGTGTAATAAATGCCTCCGCTGTAAAAAGGGAACCTAGAGGACTCTCCAATGCCTCGTGGTAGACAGCGGCACATTCACAACAAGCAGTAGCCACCCTAGTGTTCTTGTGCTGCACGAACTGGAAGTGAGCAAATCGAAGTATCAATGTCCCAAGGAAGTGGGAGAGTTTGGAGCTTTGCGCTTCGCGCAACTCGATCCCTAGGCGTCTTGCTATCTCCACAGCGGATTCAGTCTGTCCACGGCTACAGTTAAGTAAAGCGAGATGACAGGTAACCAGCTGTTGGTTAAACGTGTCGTTGGCGAAAAGGCTGAGTGCTGTTGTGAAATTTTCCTCAGCTTGTTTGAACTGGGCGCAGTCAGGTCCCGCCTTAGATCGGATTCCTGCTGCATGATTCACGCACCCCCTGCGCAGGTAGACAGCGGCTTGACCTCTTGGGGCACACGCAGCCTCCATATAAAAAAGAGCTTCATCATAGCGCCTATGAGCCTGCTCGTTATCCTCCAATCGAAACGTTGACTCTAATGAGTCCCATGCCATATTTTCCCACCCATTGTCGCGCAACTCACACATCAAATTAAACGCTACAGGACTCGTGTATGAGGGTGATAGTATGCGATCGCCTTCATTTATTTTGCACAGGCCCAGCCCCGCATAGTCCAGAGCATTTTCATATTCGGCTTGGAGGTGGGAAAAGCACTGTTGACCACTTGAGGCTCCCTTCGCCCATTCAATATCGTTGGACATTCTCTGCAAGAGATTCTGGAACTTTGTATTCCCTGCATGACTCATGTCGCTTGCCAGGGTACCGGACAAATATGGAACTGGGAAATTCAGGAAACTCAGGTTCCGTTCCTGGCCTTGTGGTAGAGACTCCGCGGTAACATGTGGTGTGAATTCACGGTGTTCAAGGTAGGAAAAGTACAAAGTATCCAGGAAAGACCATACGTCCAGAATCACGGCCTGTTCTAGTTTCTCGACCACGGTTGTACATTCGGCAACACATATGGCTCGTCCAGCCTCTCTGGCCTGTACGTGCAGAGTCACCAATTCAGAATCGTCCTTCCACAACCTTGCGTAGGGATCCCCAGGGATCATCGCAAACGCAATAGCTGTTGGTCGATGCTCCAGCATGGCAGCGTAAAATTCGTACAATTGCCCACGGAGCACCCAAATCCGCTCTAGCCCTCGATGTTGCAAGCCTCGAAGGGTATGTATACATTCATAAGCCCTCCTGAAGTCTCCTGAAAGCGTGTAGTAAATGGCTCGGAGAAGGGTCGTTCTCGCTCTCGCAGTTGTTGAATTTGGTCCTGCGATAATCTCTTGCTCAAGAGCCGCGATATGACGGTCCGCGTCCTCATAGTTACCACGAAACTCGTCCGGGAGTATGGATCCCCCGAACACCTCGCAGATCTCGATAAAGTCCATTGCCACTAGCAGTACCCTTCGACAGGCGAGAGTGGATGTATTGTAAGAAGGTGTTTGGAAAAACCAAGGGTTGTATGATTTTATGTACTAGTGCAAGATGATACTTTCTCCAGTCGTGGGCGAGGGGTTCGTTTCGTATAGAAGTTGGACAGCGGTCCTTTGCAGCCTCCTAACAGTGCACATTCCCGTACAGCGCCCCTCGTTGATCTTAATTATCGGGTCTGGTTCATTGACAGGCTGCTATCCCCGTGGCTCAACCCGAGGATGTGCAAGATCACAAGGTCTATGATAATTGTTCTAGATCCCCAACGGACTCTGAAGACACCTCCTGATTGCAAAGTCACTGTTCTAGGTCGCCAGTGCCGTGTCCGATGACCAGCATGAACCATAGACGCTCTGACAGGTTCGGGACCGCTTTCAGTACTGACGGATGGCGGCTTCGATTGCATCATCATTTCTCAGGCATGCTAAGCCGCGCAGTCAGAGGTCGAGTGTCCCGTAATAACATCTCGTATTCTCAGACAGTATGCGTGCTCTGCATTTTCCCAAGTATGCTAGACGCACACTGTTTTATCACGTAACCTGCGCGAGCTTCTTCGACGTCATTGAATGGATTCTTGTGCTACTGTGTTATCGACGAAGCCGGGCTAGCAAACGACCAACCCCGAATCTCCTCTGAATCTTGGCTCGACCCAGATTCATTGACATCTTGGAACACGCGGGAATGGTTGTAGCTGTGAGATGAATACGGAGGGGCACCGCCCATCAGGTTTCCATGGAATCAACACGACAGGCACATGAAAGCCGAATCTAGCCGCGCTGCCGACCTTGACCCACGGATGACGCCGATCGTTTGACACTATATCTTTCTCCCGCTCAGCCACACTATATTTCTGGGGCCCACATATGAAGAGAGAAGAACATCACGGCTCAAGGGCACCGGGAGGTAACTTTGAGTAACGAACAACAGCTGATCAACTAATATGCCCAGGTGCAACGATCAACACTATTTTCTCTACGGGACCGGGAAGAAGCCAGCGCAACTACGCCTTGGCCACCTGTGTTTCGGGCACTATTCCAGAGCGACCGATGATTCCCTGTGGTATTCGCCCGGTGAGGATCTTCAGTACGAGCAACTGCCTCCCTTGTCTGACGTTTGGCTTACTTGTGAAATCATAGGGCTGATGAACTTGAGAAATCCGCACATGTCTTCGAGATTGAGAACCCGCTGCTCGGAACGGACCCGTCGGTGAAGATATCGGCTGAAATCAACGCGTTCGATCTTGCCTCGTTGGGTTCCTCCTTCTCTAAGTCTAACTCTATGTTCGTATCTGCAAAAACAGGGCGCAAGATTGAGCTACAGGAGTACGTAAACTCTCCCAACCACCCAAATGGCATATTCCCCTGACTTGTGGCCCAGCCCTCGAGAGTTCCTTACAGAGAGGGTCTTGACAAGGGAGTCGTGCAAGAAAACCCTCGAGAGGTGGTTGGTTGTAGCCAACCCCAGCCTCAGGACACGGATCACAAGCCCGAAAATCTGGTACTTGACAGGGGTGTACGAACTAGCGGATACCGTGTCGTTCAGCCAAAGCAGAAGAGCCTTTGCTGCCCGCGGTGGCATCTCCGCCGACTTACTCGAAGCGCTGGGTGTACCTGTAGGTGCCAATGCCGAAGCGGAAAGAATCAGAAGCGAGTTTCAACGGGAACAAATCAAGGAGCCACTTGTGTGGGCTGCAAGATATCTGCGACTGGATGCCAAGTACCTACATGTCAACAACGATAAACCTGTGCCCGAGAACCTGGTGTCCCTCGGGCGCCACCCACTACGTTCCACGGGCAAAGTTCGCGACCCCGAACCTACGGCTAATTACGCCGAGCTTTCGCTCATGGAACCTGGACCGGACTCGGTCACTGAGTGCCCGGGGCTGGAGTCCGATGAGTACTGGAATGGCATCAAGGAGGAGCAGCAATTGTGGGAAATTAGGGAGTCGACCGAAGAGATCTAGGCGGTATTGACCGTGCTTGCGCCCGTCATGATTGTGATTTGACCCATTGAGGTCCTAGCCTTATGCACTCGATCCATAAGATCAGGATATGAATCAAGCGCGAATAGCTTAAATCTGTGGACTCTGGAAGGAAATCGTGTCTTGACCGCTCGAGAACATTCAACTCTGTGCAGTCCCTTATGCAACACCAACAATTTGCCGCCCATACAAGGGCGATACTCAGTTGTCCAACAGCCTCGCTGAGCAGGGAACCTGCATCAAGGCAGTCCTTAAGCACGCTTAGTGGACTTGCGCATAACCTTGAGGCTGAAGCTTTTATTGGAGGCTCTAGCATGCTCCGAGAACCAGCTAGGTACTTAGAAACATGCCTCCACAAAAAGGGCTTCAAAAGAAGCATTCTTCTAACTACTACTATATAGCTCTATTTCCCTGATCCGGAGAAGGATGCGAACTAATGGAAACTTCTCAGAAGAAGACCATGTCCACAAATTGCTCTATCACATCCGCGGTTTGATTACTAACCATATTCCCAGGCGGTTTTATGATTATCTGCACTCAGAGCTTGGTATCTTAAGTCAAAAACGATGATAAAGACTTTGGTGTGCCAATGACTAGACTAAACCTATCTAGCTCTGCAACCGAAATGTGATTGACAGCTCATAAAGACACCCCAATCCTCCGCCAAGAAAGATTTGGTAAAGGGTTGAAATATTGATTGATCACTTTTGACGAATGACAGACAGATTTACAGTATAAACACTTATAAAAAAAAAAGTGTGTAGTTATTACCGGCCTGCGAAATCAATTGGCTCATTCTGGGCTCCCTGCTGAGAGTTATACCTGACGCCAGCGACCTTGAGCCCATCGCGATCGAGGAGTGTGATAGTGTCACCGTTCTGCGAGAGCGGGCAGTGCGGAATAGAAAAGTCATCGGTAGCTCTCGCGTTTAAAGCGGAATGCCTAGGAAGAACCTGTTGTGCCCATTCCGAATTGCGAATTCTCCAACGTGCAAGCGACACCCTGCGGTTTGTGAGATTCGCCAGGGTAACAGATTGCGGCTCTTCAGTAGGATTCACATTCACACGGGCCCGGCGGATAGCCACTGAATTCTCGACAAGGTCGTCAAGCAGGAGGCCCTTCCACTTCACTCGTGAAATGGCACGGCCATCAACCTCACTGGTATGCACGGCCTGCGATGCAAAGGCAAGGAAAATACCGACCCATTGTTTGGACTGAGGGAAATGGATGATGAGAGCCCCGTCCTGGAACACGCCATCGTCACCTGAGTACCTTGGAATGTTGCCCTGGTTCATGTGAACATTGTGTATTCCATCTTGCGTGTTAAATTGCTCGCCAAAGATATAGACAGTAGCCCCCTCGGCCATTGCTTGCTGTATCCTAGGCTCCAGGACATCAATGATGTCGTTGTTTGGACCATTAATGTCGTGCTCGAGAATCCGACCAGTGTCTACGTCAAAGAGATTGCTGCGGATATAGTCAAGTCGTAGACCGTTCGGTTCTGGCTCTTGATCATCCAAGCGGTGGAAGCCGGTCGTCTTGAGACGCGATAGACGACCAACGAGCGGGTGGCCGCTCATATCCTCATTTACCCAATAGGCAAGTCGCGACTCGTCTCGGTCTCCGGACTTGATATTTATGGCGGCGTGATAGTCAGGACCTGAGTTATCGCGAAAGTAGAGAGTTAGATGAGGTGTTCTGGTCCCACGGCGTTCAACTTCGTAACGTGTGGGTTGAGCCTTCCACACGCCGTAATTGTCCAGCGGCATGTTGCTTGTGAGCTGCCAACAATAATATAGGTCAGAGAATTCTCGCACACCGCAATTAATGAAGACTTCCAGGGTTCATTGAATTTGATCCGGTGCTTATATACCCCGTGGATGGGTGGTGAGATGAGAGGAGTCTGGACCTTTGGATAACGTCACCACCTGGAGTGCTTTATGCTTCCTACCCTGGTTGGCTTCGCGCCACGCAAATGCGAACCGCAACTTATCTCATCCAATAGAATATGAAATATATTCGTGTGAAGAGTTACTTTTCTTTATGGTAACTCACTCCCCTCTATAGCACACTAACACCGGGCCCCCATGCCTGTGCCCGTTGATGGGGAGCTACTGCAGATGACGACGCCGCAAGTGCTTTTTGAACTGTTTCTCGTTCCCCTCGTTAAGATTCACATTCCTCGGTCCGTATTCGCTTGTGGCGTTAATATCTCTGATTTCATCCATGACCAATACATCTCTTCAGCATACGATGACAGCTTGGGAACGAGATCTATTAACTTAAATTACCGTACTATGTGCGTGTACTGGCGCTAAGGCTTTCGACAGGCCCTTCCACATACTGCCAAGAACCATCAGCAAGGTACGAGAATACCCCATGCCTTCTACAGGGGCCTTAGACGGATTCTATCCCAAGATTGTACGGAACCAAGTCATTAAGTGCACCAGGAACTGTTCTGAGGAGTCTAGGTTACCTTGAGCGGAGCTGGAATCGGCTTGACGCCGAAATCGAGACTGAGAACCTGCCGAAGGGGACGGACAGAATAAAGAAGTGGTACAGACTTCGGCCGAGTGCAGTGGATATATGGACTTGACAGAGGGAGCTCATTAAGTAGGTCTCGCACAGGGCTTCGTTGTCGTGAGGTTCCGGATGAGCTCTGAATGGAAGGATCGAACCTGGTACGTTCAGTAAGATCAGTGATCGACCTACTCGTGTCATGCTGGCCCTCGCTCTTGAAGCCAACCATGGAAATGACAGGCTAAATCCAAATCCACAGATCTCGTCCATGGATACAGTTACCACCACCTGCCAGACCTAGATGGGACAAAGACCTCTGACGAAGTCATCATCCTCATTCTCGGTGCGATTGTCTTTCTGAAACTTGCATTGGGATTGGCCTTCCAGCTACAATTTTTATCACCACCCCGCAATCAATCAACCAAGCCACCCCGCTAAGACGCGCCTCCTCCGTAG